TACATGGACTGCCACAATTTCTTTATCAACTCCCTAACTGAGACACACATGAGTTACTTTCAGTTTGCTTAAATACTTTATCAAATGGTTATAGTTATCAGGAAAAGTTGTGAAAAATTATCAGGTAAAGCAAAATGTGTGTCTGCTAGGCAGATATTAGTGCCTTCTCCATGAGCAGGAATTTCTGGGGTTTCATCATCTTTATCTTCCTGGTACAAAGAGACTACAACCTAGAAAAGATTTCCCTTAGAAATTTAAATTTCTCCTATAATTACCTGGTTTCCAGAGCTTCTCCTATGTCTGTACTTGCTTAAAAATAATCAGGCCAAAGTAGTCCTTATAATAAAGCAGTTATTTTGGGTTGGCTAATTCTGCTCGCTTCAGCTGGTTCAGTGATCAGGCAGTAAAAAAATTACAAAGGGTTGGTTAGAGTAGATACAGTTAGGCTTTGTCTGTAGATGGTGATGATCTACATTATGATCAAAGAGAGGGTCTTTGTCATGGGAAATCTGTAGTTCCATGCTCACTCACACATCTGTAGAGTTAGGACAATTGGAGGGGAGGTGGTAGAGTAAGTGGAGGCCTTTCAAGGATAGAATATATTTCTATAGTTTCACAGAAAAGAAGCTATTGAAAATTAAATAGAGAAGAATGGAAAATTTAGTTAAAATTAGTGGTAATTTGGCCCATAATTGACTTTAGGAGACTTAGGAAACTTGAATAAAGCTATGACTAATCATTAAGTTATTATTTGTAACAATGAGTGAATAGATAAAAGTATTTGTTTTGAGTCAAAATAACACTTTCACTCAAATATTAAATTACTTTTTTAATTAATAAAACATTAAATATTGAAAATTAATAAAAGAGTTCCTGATTAATAATTAAATACGATGTTTATTATAAATATAAATTATCACCAGAATAATTAATAGTAATTTATATGATGCTTGTTTAGCCATAATAGACAAAAGTCAAATAACCCTTGCAGCTAAGTTTAAAAAAAATCTTCAAGGAGTAGATTAGCAGGCAAAGAAGGAAAAATTTAGATGAAAATTCTTGAAATTATGTTTGTGACTGGAAAAATAAAAAAATTATTTAAATCATGTCACAGAATATATTATAATTGGTAGATACATATGTCACATTCATGATCACATTTTGTCATTACTGCTTTCGTGTGAGAAAAGCAGTAACTCCTTCAAATGAAATATGACAAATCAAACATGAATATGGTGGCCAATGTCCCAGAAATGGTGGGAAGAAGAGCTAGGACTGAATCCAAGCCTGGAGGCAGGGCCGACCTCAGAGCGAGAGGACAGGAGAGAGGAAGGACCGTGTGTGACCACAGGCAGGCTTAGGAGCCCACAGGGTCCATGTGTTCAGCTGTCCCTGATCTCCTCTCACCTCTAGAATGCCAGCTACAGCTGGGAAGTCATCACAACAGAGACCTGTGCTCTGCAGACCACACAGCTGGAACCCACGTGACCCTGGAACGCCCACATCATTGTCTTTCAGAAAAAGCACTTCCTTGAGAGACTCCATCTCAACTTAATGTGGACTGAGGGTGCACTGAGGAAGGACAGCCAGATAATGAACTTTCTCCAGTCTGTTCTCTCCTAAGAGAGTACTCAGGCCCTCAGGAGGCCTACTCACAAGGCTTCTCTCTAGGATCCTGTCTACAATATAGGCTATGGGAGGGGAATTTTTATGGCTGTCTTACTCCCACAGGTTCTATTAAAGTGCTAACCTCAACTCCTTCAGGTCCCTGGAGTGTTGGATGTAAGATTGTAAATGAGAGAAAGGGAGTGAGCAGAGAATTTTCTTCCAACTCCAGTCTCTGCACAGAGGCTGGGCTGCCAAAGTCAGGCCACAGCACTGTCCCCACCATCAGATCTGGGTAAGGACTTTGTAAGTGGGGCATCTTCATCATCATGTTATGTCCTAGTCTGAGCCTCAGTCTTAGCAGTATTCCAAAATTGGGAGAAGTGTGGAATAATTAGGATCTATAGGACACACCATTAAGAACACAAAAACTTTTAAAATAAGGATCTATTATGCTTTCCAAATACTGTCATCAGGAATCTGGGTTCAGAATTAGCCAATTGGCTATTTTAATTAGTATAACCTTGATCGGGTCACCCTCCCTTTCTAGATTCCAGTTTCCTCTTTTGCAAAATGAAGACTTAGGACAAGATGATCTCCGTAATGGCAGCCCCTCCTCTGCCCCCATTCTTTGAACCTATGCCTAAATTCTCCAAGGCTAGGGGTAATGAAACTGTGGGATCTAGAATGTGGAATGCAAAGAATTTCTTCCAAAAGCATTTTTGGAGTAAGGGAGCAAAGTATGATTGCAAAAAACCAAAGTAAGATCAACACAAATATACACAATTGGTGTGTGTTTTCAGAGCCCTGACTCCAGCGTTCGGGGTGCGAGGGCAGGAATAAGAAACAGACTGAGGAGCTATGGGGGGGGGTCTGGATTTCCATTGCCTTTTGCATTAGCGGCCACAAGCGTGCTACACCAAGGCAAGGTGCCAAGCACTCTGGGAGATAAGGTACAGCATGAGAGGGCATTAATTTCAAAATTCTCATGGATCATTGCTTTGGGACGATAAGACACATGCATAAAAATAATTGCAGCACACACAGGATAGAGGAAAAGTGGGGATTTAGAGGCAGGAAGATTCATGTTCACCTGGATGGTCAAGGAAAGGAAGTCGGAGCTCAAACCAGATCATGGTTTAGATAATAGACTGGGTTAGGATAAGCATATTCCATGGTACACTGCAAGAAAAGAGACATACAATTCTATGATGAAGAAAATAATGTTTAAAAACACATTGTTATGCTAGAAGTGATTTTTATTCAGAATGACTTTCCACTGATTTTTTTAGTAGTGCCCTCATAGGAGGGCTGGGATGTGGGGTTTGGGGTTGCGTGCTCATCCTGAATTCACTGGGCATTAATCAGGTGGGTCTGCAGAGACTCCTGGTCTTAACAGCTATCAGCCAACCTGTGAGGGAAGAGAAATGGAAAGGGAGTTGCAGAGAATGAGGGGGGTACTATTTACTAATATCTGGGAATTTACTACCTGGTGAGAAAGAGACATGCACATTATTATAAAACCAATAGGAAACTGGGCCTCCCCTGGTGGCGCAGCGGTGGAGCGTTGGGCTGCAAAGCTGCCCGCAGCCTCTGCAGTGCCGGTTCGATCCCCGGCTACCAGTGAGGGTCCCACATGGCGCGCAGACCACTCCTACCACACCTGCTGCTCCCCTCAGCAGTATACTTGGGTCCTTCTGCCTGTTCTGTTTCCCCCCTCTGGCTCTGGTGAATTCTCTCACCCTCCCGCGCTTCTGACTGTACCCAGTGCTTGTGTAAATAAAAAAAAAAAAAAAAGAAGAAGAAGAAGAGGCAAGAGGAATATGGAGTAGGGGACAGGAATGTTGACTGAGAGGTTGATTTAGAGGTCTTCAACATGTAGAAGACAGGCAGTTTTAAGCCATGGCATTGAATGGTTTAACAAAGGAGTGAGTTTACATAGAGAAGAGAAAAGAAGAACAAACTCTGACATCAGTGAACTCTGATATTAAAAAAAAAAAATTCAATGAGGAGTCTGAGAATGGGGTCCACTAAGTCGGAGGGAGTGTAGCAGCCTGAGCATCCAGTGAAGAAAGTATGGCAGGAAGCGGGGACTGCTGATGTCCAAGTAAACAAAGGTCTGAGACACAGACTGGATTGAATAAATCTCAGATCACTGGTGGCTCTGAGGAGGGAAGTGTTGATGAAGCAGTGATGAGCATCTAATTAGAATAGTTTAGAGATTTCTTGATAGCTCAGAACAAAGGATTATGGCTGGGTATAGGAGGGAATTGAGAGAATGGAATTAGAGACAATGAGTAGAGGCAGTGCTCTGGGGGAGTTGTGTTTGGGGGGCAGAGAAAGAAATGGAGCTGTGGCTGTGAGAGAAGTGCATCAAGAGAAAGAACTTCTTGGGAGCTTGCTGTCACTTGTTTAATGTATGAGAATAATGGCATGTTTCCAGGCGGATGAAATGTTCCAGTAAAAAACTAACTGGTTCTCTGTTTTCTCTTTTGGAATAGTAGTTTCTTAAGTTCAGGTGCCATATTTTATTAACCTGAGGATAACCTGGTTATCCTCTGTTCTAAGTATAATTATGAGAATACAGAAAATGCTTGATAAATTTCCATTACATTGATCCCAATACAGTGGAACACAAATATTTACCATCTGCAAATCAATAAATCAGAGAAGTGCATCTGAGTTTGGTGGAGGGGGAAAGTGATAGGAAAGACTGATGAAATGACCACGGATGGAGCAGGAATGCAAAGCGAGAGCTCGTCCTCCTGGTTTTCTGTCACTCTTATCTACTCAAACTCTATTACCTGTGACTGGAATTCTCACCAGTGTCCAAAGGACATCAAAATGCTGACCTGAAATGCCCCTGAAAGATGCTGTTAGATCTGGCTGCTCAGGACATGAGAAGGAGGTGGCAGTGATGAAAGGATTGATTCTTCAGTAGCCAGAAAGCTGAAGAAAATAAACTGAAATTAGAAATAAAAATATATAATTCAAATAATGTAATCTCAGTGCAGAACTCTAGCAATATTTTATCAGTGATGATCATTTATGTCTTAGATAAGGAATATTTATAAATGATCATATAAGCCTTGGATGAGGAATAATCACATTTCTAAGTCTACTTAGGTTCCATTATGAAAGGCAAGTGTGTTACAGAGAGGACTATGGGGGGCTGTGCAATCAGAGAAGGCACTGAAATCTGATGATCACACTGGGTGTTGTGGAGGGGCTGTTAATGATGGTTGGTCCCCTGACTTATTAAAGCAACTACTGGTCATGCTTTACTTGAGATGGGGCATGTAGTGCAAGTGTCACCTTCTTGTTAGGACTTCTGTGGCTCAACTTCCTTTCTCGTCCTCACATATTCCATATTCCAGGGACATGAGTGATGAGCAATGGACACCGGGAATTGGAGCCGGGTGACAGAGTTCATCATATTGGGCTTTCCCCAGCTCCAGGGTGTCCAGATTTACTTCTTCCTCCTCTTACTGTTCATTTACCTCACCACCATCCTGGGCAACCTGCTGATATTCCTGGTGGTCCGCCTGGACTCCAAGCTGCACACACCCATGTACCAGTTTGTCAGCATCCTGTCCTTACTGGAGCTTGGCTACACAGCCGCCACCATCCCCAAGATGCTGTCCAACTTGCTAAGTGAGAAGAAGACCATTTCTTTCTCTGGGTGCCTCCTGCAGATCTATTTTTTTCACTCTCTTGGTGCTACTGAGTGCTACCTGCTCACAGCCATGGCCTATGACAGGTATCTGGCCATCTGCCGACCCCTGCACTACCCCACCCTCATGACCTCGGCCCGCTGTGTCAGGATCACTGTGTGCTGCTGGCTGGGAGGCCTGGCTGGCCCAGTGGTGGAAATTTCCTTGGTCTCCCGCCTCCCGTTCTGTGGCCCCAATCGCATTCACCACATCTTCTGTGATTTCCCTCCTGTGTTGAGCTTGGCCTGTACTGACACATCCATCAATGTGTTCGTGGACTTTGTCATCAACTCCTGCAAGATCCTGGCCACCTTCTTGTTGATCCTCAGCTCCTACATGATGATCCTGCGCTCAGTGCTGCGGGTGCCATCAGCCGAGGGCAAGAAAAAGGCCTTCTCCACCTGCGCCTCGCACCTCACGGTGGTAGTCATCTTCTACGGGAGCATTCTCTTCATGTACGTGCGATTGAAGAAGAGCTACTCACTGGACTATGACCGTGCCCTGGCAGTGGTCTACTCCGTGCTCACTCCCTTCCTCAACCCCTTCATCTACAGCCTGCGCAACAAGGAGCTCAAAGAGGCTGTGAGGCGGCAGCTGGGGAGAGCAGGAGCGCTGAGGTGAGGGGCTGGACTGCACTGGCTGGGGATGGAAGATGGAGCCTTCTGGGTTTTACTTTTTGGGGACCCTGAGAGGTATTGCTGGCTCTGTGTCCCTGCCAACTCCAGGCGGGGCTGGAGAGGCGCAAGAGGTGTCGTGTTCCAAACCCCAGACATGTGTACACCATACCTAGGATTGTCAAATCTGTGTCTTATGTATAATATACATATGCATTTTGAATTTGCTTTATTTAATGTAATAAATAATGCACGATAATGCACTTATCATGTTCTAGATAATAGTTGTTAAACAAATTTAGAAAAACAAATGGCTTTTTTGTACATCGTTTATAATCACTTTGTGTATACTGATCGCTTATGTATTAAAATGGAAAATGTTGGTCTATTAGAGAAAATCATGTTGGGTTTTTTGTTTTTATCATATATATCCAGACTTTAATCCTGGTTCATTCAGTCACTTATTAATTATATGATCTTTAGAAAGTAACTCAAACTCCCTGAGTCTTAATTTCATTGTTTAAGTATTTCTGAAAGCTGTTTTGAAAATTAAATGAGTCAGTAAACACAGTATGCCCTGACGTGCATACAGTTGATAGCAAAAAATTAAAGGTTATTATGTTTGCTTGATTTGCATTTATTTTATTCTTCGCAGACCTATTTCCATTACTCTGAGTCTTAAAACAATATACAGAAAGGTGTAATTAAGCAAAAATCTTCCCAGATATTCTCTCCTTCCCCAAGGAAGGGGTCAATTAGCAGAGGGGGCCCCTTTGAGAAGAGCCCTTTGTCTCACTTTCAATCTGGCTGATTTCCGTGTGTCTGCTGATTAGTGACACTAAAACCTTACCCAGTGGAAAGCTTGAAAGTATAGAAACTGGGCCTCCCCTGGTGGCGCAGCGGTTGAGCGCTGGGCTGCAAAGCTGCCCGCAGCCTCTGCAGCGCCAGTTCGATCCCCGGCCACCGGCAAGGGTCCCACATGGCGCACCAGACCTCTCCTGCCAGGCCCGCTGCTCCCCTCAGTAGTGTATTTCATCGGTCTGCCTGTTCTGTTCCCCGCTCTGGCTCTGGTGAATTCTCTCACCCTCCCATGCTTCTGACTGTATGCAGTGCTTGTATAAATAAATAAATAAATCTTTAAAAAAAATTATAGAAAGAAGGGCTTTAATAAAGGCATAAACTTAAAAAAAAAGTATAGAAACTGAGTGTAGGGAAATACTAGAATTACTTTTACATTACGCCACTTCTTTATTTCATTTTAAGCTAATTATTTCCTTAAATATACAAAAATATGTTTAAATGATCCTATAACTTAATGTATGAGAAATATGGGGCTTTAATTATTAGCTGGCATTAAGGGTTATTTATTCATGTGAATATTCACCATGAATAGAGAATCAAATGTTGGCTATAAGAAAACTTTCAAACGTTAAAAGTTTCTAATAAGATCCTGAAGTATTTATACTCCTACATTGCAATATTATCACCCATCCATCCATCCATGCAGTCAATTCAGCACGTGTTTAGTTAGCTCTCACTGTATCAGATGCTTTGGTAAGCCCTACATAAGCAATGAACAAAACAGGTACTGCTCAATCCCTGACCTTAGAGTGTTTTAAGAGTTGAGGCAATAGAAATTAACAATTGTAATTTATTTATAGTTAGTTACAATTAATGAAATGTACAGAAATTAGGAATGAAAAACACATGCACTCTTCTGAGGAAGTTACATATAAGCTGAAAACTAAAAGATAAATCAGAATGAACCATTGTTATGAAAGCAATAATTGCAATAATAAGGAGGAGGAACAGGGGTGAGGACGAATTGAGGGAGGGACAAAATATATGATTCCTATTATGAATGAGGCATTTATAAAGTTGATAAAATTTATAAGAAAATTCTATTTTAAAATACAGGACTTACTGACTTATTTCTCTGAACATAGTGATTTTAGGAGGATGAAAGGAATGGTTTGGGAAGAGATTATTGAAAGGAGAGAGATATGCATCAAAAACATATTTTGTCTCCTTGATTTTTTAATTTACCCAACATAGGAATTGATTAGTCCAAAGATACAAGATACATGGAAGGTGATTTAGTATAACAAACAATAAAACATTTATATCTTAAAGGTGATATCCTGGTGAAAGCCAAGGCTTTGCATGGCCAATGCACATGTCTGTGCAGACTGGAGCTTTGTGTCCTTTGTTTTAAATCCCTATTTAAGGAAAATAAGTTTTAAACCGAGAGAACAAGGATCTCCCAGTTTTACAGGAGCATTATTTAATCCCTCACTCTCATTCTTTAGACAAAGGGATTAGATAAAAAACAGATCATTTTACAGATCCAAAATAATCAGAACCATGACCTATGAGAGACAGTAAATTTCCAAAATGGAGAAGTAATACCAACCTGTGCAACCGGCAAGTTATTCTTTATATGCCAACAACTTTAATTCCTGGCTCTGTAAAACTTCTACTGTGGAATTTGGGAGATTTTGCATTTGCTACGTGGACTCCACAAAGAAAAAAACTGAAGATTGAATGGCAGCCCCCATAGTTGTACATCTGGAGGGGCCTGGAAATAATTCTTAGTGCAGAAAAATAATGAAAGGAACAAAAGTATTAATTAATAATAATCAATTTATGATTATTTATGAGCATTATAGGCCATGTGCTCAGCATTTTGTATACATTAAAGCACGCAATCTTCAAAATCCCCAAAGATCCCATATTATCACAGGTACACTGAGGCACAAGACCTCCCATGTTAGTTCTCCAACGTTGTGTAGCTGAAAAGGGGAAAAACCAAGACTCATGTTTGAACTTGTGACCTCAAAGTCCTCAGCCTTACTGACTACCTTAAATTTACTCTAATGAGGACAAGATGTCTGATAATCTCAACCTTCTACCATTGTAGAGCCCATCTTGGGTACATGCGCAAGCAGAGGCTGGGTGACCTATTTTGCTATCTGCTGGCAAGCTTCCTATATCAGGTGTAGAAAGAACTAGATGTCTCTTAAGGAACTTAAAGTGTGGAGCAAATGAGAAATTAAATATTAGTTTACACTGATGACCTTCAGCAAAAAGCAAGGACACCATTTATTATGCTTGGGAGATACTCCCATATTTGAATGAAGGCTAAGATATGGAAGAGGCCAAGGAGATAAATCATGAAGAATGTGGAATTATCACATAAGCCTGGATCATTTGAATTCTGCCTCCACCTAATGGTGGCTCTCCGCCTGCCTTTGTTCTTCTTCCCTTTGCTACCTTAGACTGATCTGAGCACTGCACGTCACTGTTGTCACCACGGCTGTCTCTTTTCTCTGTCTTTTGTTTTCCCTCACAGGTATTGATCTGTCCTCTCCGCCAGCCCAGACTCTCAATCAGGAACTCTACGAGAGCAAGCTGACAGTCTGCAGAATCCAATGCTGAATGATCTGACCTTGAGAAGGATTCCTTCTGTCCATGGATGCTTTGTTTAATGAGAGACACAGGATACAAGAAATGGCAAAAAGAAGTAACTAAGTCACAGCAAAATAAGGAACCATACTGGGCCTGACATCCATATCTGGGACACCAGGCTGAAGAATCTTATTAGAGACTGCAGTGACTTGAAGTGATATTGAGAGATAGGGGACAACAGTGAAAAAAAAATCATTTCTAAGATTTAATCCCAAAGATTAAAGATCTCTTTATGACAAGGAGTAATACATGGGGTTTAGAGAGAAGGAAGAATGAAAAAGGGTGCTCATTCAGAGAGGTTTGGAATATAACACCAAGCTTTGGAAAGTTCAAAAAAATAGTTTAGTGGCTGGAAACAATGAGTCTAGAGACCTCACAGGCTCTGATGCCAAGAAAAACAATGAACTTGTTGGATAATGGTATTCCCAGTAAAAGTAGCAGTGATGATTCTGTAGACTCTGAGGCCTCCAAAGACTACAACCACAGGCATGCTAGTTGCTAGGTCAATCTTCTATACCTAGGTAGAATCAATACTCAAACCTTTTAAAATCAGAAAATCTTGGAATATGACGCATAAAATCTTTCCATACTTTCTGTACAGTAATCAGTGATCACATTCACTCACTGAGAACCATTATCTCCTTTGCAGCTCTTGTTAGGTTGGTGGTTGGTCTAGGATGAAGTTATATGAAGTGGGCACAAAATCCTGGTGAATAAGGACCTGCCTCTGGATCAGATATAATTGAGTTTCTGACCTGGACTTCTAGTGTTTAACTCTGTACCTTTAACCTAATTATTGAAGCTCTGGGCTTCATATTTCCCATTTGAAAAATAAGGGTTAATCCTTGTGTCATAGGACTGTAGTGAGGATATGTGAAGTAATGCATGTGAAGTCTTTACATTAGCTCGGATATTGTTCAAAATGCTACTTCTTATGAAAAATCAAAGGACTCTAAGGCTAGAAATGACCTCAGTGACCATTTAATGCAGCTGTTCACAAATCTGAGCCATCATCAGAATATTCTTGGGAGCTTAAGGATGCAAATGCATGGACTTTACTTTTGCATTTTCTGAATTGTAAGTTCTGGTGATATGCCGGTTTGGGGAAACACTGATCAAATCCAACCATGTAATTTTATAGACAAGGAAATGGCACAACTTAGTGGTAGAAATAAGTGCACAATCTGGTCCCTGGGCCCTATAGTCCAGCAGTCTTTCCCAGTCACTTGAAGACTGAGAAGCTCTCAGAGGGAGGAATCATAACTCATTACAGACTGGCACAGTTCTAGAAACTTTTGGGGAAAGAGGTTTGTATAATTTCATTTCTTTAACATCAAATAGATTAAATGAAAGTGTGCTTTTATTGGAAAGAGTCAAGGGCAAGCCCCAGCTCTGTTACCAACTCTCTCTGTGACCTTCCACAAATCAGTAGACCTCTTTGAGTTTAGTTCAACCACTTAAATAATTACATTAATAACAACAATTAAATAATGAAGGGGTCTGGCCTCATTACTTCAGATGATTTAAATTTCAAAAGGATTCATACACTTAAAATATTTTAAGTAGTAAATCATTAGATTAACATCATGAACCATTATTGTTATTAATTTTATGACGTCTATTGCGCATGGTCAGTCCATTGCTATTAAATTGTGTTTGTAAATTAAGCTAAAAATACAGAAAACTCTAAATGTCAGGAAATTGTTGATTAATGTGGAAGTCTGCATAACAGGAGGCTTCCTGCTAAAAGGGAATTGGGGGAAAGTTAACAGAAGCAATTTTCAGAACTATGATGTCCTTCACGCCTTTCGATCCTTCCTCCTGGCCTGCAAGTGTGGGGGATGACAGAAGAGAAAGGCAGGATCCCACCAGGTGAAGTGTGAAAAACCAGCCTGATCCATAAAGCAGGAAGATGCTTGTACACGGCTGCAGCATAGCACACATATAGAAGGGGCACTCATGCAAGCAGACTGTGAAATTACCACCAATGACCTGGACCCCCCAGGGTTTCATTCTTGTTTTAAATAAGAGAACAAGTAGCCACAGCAAGAGAAAAAGAGCAGATTCATGAACAAGACTAGAACAATGAAATGCTGAACTCACAGGTGGTTTCTCAGTCTCTAGGATCTAGCTAACTATCTCCCAACCCCATCAGCCCTCTTCTGAGCACAGAAAAGTCTCCCAATCGCATACTTCATGTCTTTGTTTCTCAAGCTATAGATAATGGGGTTGAGAAAGGGTGCAAGGATAACAAAAGTGACAGCAATCACTGTGTCCCAAAACACTGAGTAGGTGGCTGAGAACCGCAAATACATGACAGCCACACTGCCAAAGAATAGCAGGAACACAGCCAGGTGGGCGGCGCAGGTGGAAAAGGCCTTGCGACGGCCTTCAGGGGAGGGCATCCCCAGAATCACCACAATGATTCGGATGTAGGACAGGGCGATGACCAGGAAGGAGGCCAGGATCTCCACTGCATGGACAGCATCCACGATGACCACCAGGGAGGTATCTGTGCAGGCCAAACTCAGCACAGGTGTGAAGTCACAAAAGATCTGCTGGATCTGGTTGGAGCCACAGAAAGGCAGGGTGGAGATCCAGGCAATCTCAGGGAGCACTAGGAGGAAGCCACAGAGGCAGGAGGCAGCTGTCAGCTGGATGCAGAGTTTGGGAGTCATGATGGTTGGATAGCGGAGAGGATTGCAGATAGCTATGTACCTGTCGATGGCCATTGCTGTCAGCACACAGCCTTCTGTGATACCAAGGGAGTGGAAGAAATACATCTGCAGGAGGCACCCAGCCAGAGAGATGGTCTTCTGTTCACTGACCAGGCTGGAGAGCATCTTGGGGATGGTGGTGGTGGTGTACCAGATCTCCAGGAAGGAGAGGATGCTGATGAAGAAATACATGGGCGTGTGCAGGGCCTTGTCCAGTTGGATGACAACGAATATTATTAGGTTCCCAGTGATGATAAACCCATAGACGAGAAGCAAGGGGATAAAGAAAAAGAGGCCACCTTCATGCAGACGCGGGAACATGGAGAAGAGGAACTCAGTTACCATGGTCCGATTCCCTCTGGTCATCAACTGTGACATCTGTGAGGAGGCAAAAAGAAACAAAGAAACTCCTGGAATCGGTAGTGACTACATTGCAAATTGCCTCCTTCCTCTCTAGGATGGAAACAGGACAGTTAGAAGTGTCTCTCAGCTGAAATGTTTGCTTTTGGATTCCAAATGACCTTGGTCACCTCTTCGGTGGAAGCAAAGAACATACAGAGCAACACCCAAATTTAATTCTCGGGAATATTTTCTGCAGGTTCAATCACTTTATTTTCTGAGTTCATCTTCTCTTCACTCTCTGCCATTCTGTGTTTAGCTTTCAAATTGGCCCCTCTCTTTCTAACTATTCTCTACTTCTGTGTATTAATAAAAAAATAAAGTAAGATTATAAGGACACTCTCAGAAGCCTTTCTCCCAGTAATTCTCATGTAGTTCTTTGCATTTCTTCCAGCCCTGATCTCTAACCTGACTCTGGTTAAAATAGTGCTTTGATCCTCCTGTCTTTTCCTGTTGGTTTTATAATAGCATGTCTCATTTTCATTAGGTAGTAACTACCCAGATGTCAGGAATTAGTCCCCCCTCATTCTCTGTAACTCCCCTTCTCTGTCTCCTCTCTCGAAGGCTGACTGATAGCCGCCAAGACCAGGAGTCTCTGCAGACCCATCTGATTAGTGCCCATTGAATTCAGCATGAGCACAAAACCTCAAACCCCATACCCACTGTCTTCCTGGCTCAAATTTTAGAGCCAAATATTTTTCTGTACACTCATCAGATAAACCAAATAGGGCCCATTTCCCCCATTTCTATCTTTGCTCATGTCTTTCCTCCCTTTCCTTTTCTTGGTCTTTTCTTAATAGAATCCTAGTTGCTACTGTCCAATAAATATTGTCACTATTGTCTCAGAAGTCTCAGCAATCCTTCCTGACAACAGTAATCTCGCTCTCTGTCTCCGAAGAGGGTTTCATATTTCCTTCTTTCATGTCTTCGAATATTTGAATGTTTCTAGCATTTTAAATACTTGAGATCAACAATCTCTTCCTCAAGCAGAGTGAAAGCACCCCGGGAGGAATCATAAAGGATAAACGTGGCACTGATGAGCCATGTCATTGTCATGACATCAGGCATTTTACGTGTTCTTGTTCATTTATTTCTACCTATGATAATGAGGGTATAGAGATAAGTATTATTTTATAGGTAGAAATATTGAGAAACAGAGGGAAAAAATAATTTGTCTATATAACATAACTACAATTTACAGCAATCTCTGGAACCCTATTCTGTGTATCTTAGAAGTCTGCTATTATTTCACGGAGCTCAAAATTTATTCCTACTGCTTTTTTGCCTATGTAGAATTTAGTGGTTATCAGAGGAAATTTGAGGGGAGAGGAAAGGCCAAGGGGATATTGGCATGGGTGGTTTGGTGGAGGGCAAGTGCAACACTGCAGTATGGAAGAGGAAAAATAGAACCCCAAAATTAAAAATTTTTTAAATAAATTTAAAAAAATAATTATCTGTAGAAAATAAAATAATAATGCCTGGAAGCCCAAATGCAGTTGGACAAACAAAAAAAAAAGAAGTCCATTATTTTATCTTATAAGATAGAGGAAAGTTAGGGCAGGCATTGTTTACTGTTTGCTCCTACTCTAAGTACCTATGTATATTTAGGATTGTCTTCAGTGTGAGATAAGAGAGCTGATGGTTTTTCTTTTTTCAGGAGGTCAAAAATAGTGGAAATTAATGCATCACAGACCAGGAAAATTAATTTGCAAGGATTGCCTTGTGTCTCAAGCCTTGAGGAAGAAAGATAAGCAACAGATTTTAGAAAGGAACAAGACACAGTTTAATGCTTAAGCTTCTCACTCCTCAGGAATCCACAAATCTTTGAACTTCAGCAAAGTTTTACTGTTGGAAAGACCTTAGGTATTATCTGTATCTTCATCACATAATACACACACATACAAACACACACACACAGCTGGACTATATTCCTTCTAGATTTTATGTCTCGTTATTCCAATTTCTTCAGTCATATAGCAAAGTTCTAAAAATATAAAATTATACCCCATATATTAAGAAAAGTTTATGATGAAATGTTAGGGAAAATCTGGGACCTGAAGATTGAAGGATGGAGGCAAAGTGGGCACCTTAGGAATGAGAAGGGCATTAGCGGTCTCAACTGCAGGAAGCCCTGCAGTGGCAGGCGGGAGCACTCACCCCGCCCGAGACACAGCGTTCCTCAGTCCCGCAGACACGGGCCTCCTCTGCTAGTTCCTGAGCAGGGATAGATATGTCTGAAGGCTCCTCAGGGAATAGCTAGAATGGAAAATTGTCTTTCCTGGGAGTTTCTCCTCAGATGATGCAGGATGTAAAGGCAAATGGAGCATCTCACTCTCCCTCTCAGGGACAAATTAAGGGAAAGCATCACACGTAATTACACTTTCCTCAGTGGGGTCTCGAGAGCTTTCCTGGGGCTACCTACCCTTATCTCTCATCAGGGGCCACCGCCTAGCACTGAGACCCAGAAGAGCTGTGGTATCAGAAGGGGTTTTTCTGGAACACACGATCTGTACACATGACTTCTCAGTCCTTCACTCATTTCTAACTATGACATTTATATATTTAATCTCATTTCATATTTTCAATATTAAAATAATTAACCACTTTAATGATGAAGAAACAGAAGTTTAAATATGTATATTTCCAAAGGCATGTGGCTAAGTAAGTGGCAAAGTCAGAATCTACATGTGGGATTATCTTTTTCTGTTATTCCAAATCGTTGAGGGAACTCACAGAGAACAAGGACAATGCTGCAACACAATTAAAAGAAGAGAATTAGAAGAACAAAAAATGAGTGACATTTCAAAAAATTTCAATGAATGAAATTTGGAAATAGCCTCATTGATTATTATTATTATTCCCAATACTTGACATCATGCGGCCATCTTAGATACTTTTGTTGAATTAATAATAAGGTTTCAGGGAAAATGGAACAAATAAATCCTATAATTAGAGGATCATTGACAAATGTGGAGTTAATACAATTTTAGCTTCTGCAAGATTTGCAGAAGATGAAAGAAAATACAAATACAAAAATTTATTAGTCACTGTAGATCATTTTTGAGAAGTTTGGCAATGAAGGATGAGAACTAGAGTTGGTTATGTTATCGAGCTTAACTTTCTTTAAGTAAATATACAGTATCTGAGATGCTATATAGTCGTAAATGCCTGCATGTTTGAGAGAAGGAGTGAATAGCAAATTAGAAAATAAAGATATTAAAAGTATTATCTTCAAAATAAAAAATAACATGGGTGCTAATAGATAAATAATACTTTGTTTAGAAATAAGATATATGCATGAAGATCAATAAGAAAGAGAAAACTGATATTAGAGATTATAAGAAATTTTATGCAGAAACTTCCAAATGAATATAAAAACAAATTATGAGAGGATCTATCATGTGGATTGACCCAAAAAATATATCTTGGTTTTTTGCTTAAAATAATTTATTTGACAATAACCTAATTTATTGTACAAATCTAAAAGGGAAACTTTGCACATTGTTGGTGGAAATATATACTGGTTACAGCCCCTGTGGGAGACAGCATAGATTTCTCAAAATATTAAAAGTAGATTTATCATATGATACAGCAATTCTGTTCCTAGGTATCTGCCTGAAGATTGCAAAAACATTAATATGAATGGATATATGCCCTCTTGTGTTCATTGCAGCATTATTTACAATAGCCAAGCAATAGAAATAATGCTTTAGGCATTTAGTAACCTAAGGGCCCAAAGACACACGAGTGGATTAGGAAGATGTGATATATATGCACAGTTGGCTATAAAAACATAAACTCATGACTTTTGTGACAACAGAGGAAGAAGTGTTGTGGATTATGCTAAGAGAAGTAAATCAGACCAAGAAAGACAAAGGCCAGATGGTGTTGTTATTTATGTGAAAATTAGAGAAACAAAACAAATGGTCAGATAAAACCAAACTAATAACACATCTGGAGGTATGATAGTAGAATTGAGGCTGGAGGTGAAGGGGGATAGAGGAGAAAGAGCGATGAGGGGAGAGGACATAGTAGGTGATGCTGGTACATTCAGTACAATGGTGGGTGTGGGGTGATGACTTACACCTGAAGGGTATGACCCTGCACCTCTAAACCATGTTTTATCAAGCTTTCTTAAACTCAAATCTGTTTTCAAATTCAATTTCCTTATCATATTCACTTCTACCATTCCGTAAGATATATTTGACACTTCATGTCTGTGTTTTGTCTCTTACAAATGAGAGAGAAAAACTACCTTTATTGTGTTGTATATTTCTTTTTTCCCTGGTATTACCCACCTGGAGGTAAAGTTGGGCCCCGATTTCGGTTTGAAAGAAAGAAAAATGGAAAAAAAATAACTGTAAGTTATCAGATGTTAACTAGACTTTTATGATGATCATTTCACAATATATACAAATATTGGATCATTATGTTGTATCTGAAACTAATATACTATGCTATGTCAACTATAACTTAATTAAAAACAAAAATGAAATTGAAAGAAAGATAAGTAAATTTCGGGTTACTCATAGTTAGAGGAATTTTGCATCCAAGATCTCCACAAAGTAAAGTTTTCCTCTAGGGGAAAAACTGTCCTCAAATCCTCTTCTGACTGTAGCTACTGGGGACATCAGCTGCCAGGACCACGAAGCCATGACACCTGATGGGAGCCCCTCTTTCCTGCACCACTGCTGGTGGCCCTGGAACCCCTGCATGCTCCTGAAGTCCTGCTGAGCTGCAGGCAGCTGCCCAGTGTTCTGTGATGAACCTCAGAATTATTGCTGATCTGAAAAAGCATCAGTGAAAGCTGGAGAAAGCTTTCTGCTTTTGAGCCACACTCCATTTCTGATTCCTCTGGCTCTGACCCTTCCTCTCTCTCAGAGGACACTTTGTATATAAACATTTGTGTAGAAGACACTTGAAAGTAAACATTTCTGTCACTCTTAGCAGAAAGGAGAACCAAGTGTCTCCTGGCATCTGATTTCTAGCCTGACTCTAAGACCTGGCTTCCCACAGGGGTGGCAACCCAAGAAAGGGGTGCACAACAGCAGGGCTC